ACTACCTTCTCGTAGATTGAAATGGATCCTACTGATGAAAACACAAAATCGGTCGATCGAATAAAAAATTACATGATTCAACAAACTATGTATGACTTTTTCTTTTGATGTCAAATATGGTGGTTGTTGCTCTTTCCTAGGAAACCTTGTTGCTGGTCAATACTGAATTTAAGTACCAAACCTGTCTTTGTATTACCTATGATCATAAGTGTAGCTATGACCATCGGTATACTGGTAATTTGTTTTACTGCATCAAAACCACCAGGTATGTCCTTGTTGTTTTACATTCTTTGTATTCCATACGATAAAGTTCCACGGTTAATTGGCTTCTGTTTTACCAGTATTTGTGAGTTTTGTTTAAAAAAACTCGAATCATGATAATATTTGATATTGACATGTTTGAGGTAAACCATCCAGTGTGGTTACAATTATAAGCATTACAACTGCTTCACTTTTTCATTTCAAATTAGCGTTGAAGAACGCGAAGCAAGCAAGGTGATCATCACCAACAGTTCTAATACTTTGTCTATAAATCTGACTCTTCTATTTTACTTATTGGTAGAGGTTATAGATTAGAAAAGAATTCTAGAAAGAATCATCCCATTGCCGCTTTGTTCTTGAAAAACCAAGGATAATAAGTTTTTCTAAAACGAAGATTTTTGCGTTTTCTATAATTTTTTTCATATCTCAATAAAACACACAGTTTCATGATCTGATTTTTTACAAACTGATGTTACAAATTGCTACTTGTTGCAGAAAGATCAACTTTATCTTATTCAATGTTCTTGATAGCTTCTTCTCTTAGTTTTGGACATAATAGAAATTTGAAAAAATAAGAGACAATACAAGTGATTTTCTCATAGAACGTGACGAAAGTAAATATTTCTTCTCGATAGAACACATCTTCTTTACATTTTCTCCATTTATGTTGCCTTTAGAGAAGAGTAAATAGTATATGTATTCCATCTACATCTTCTTGTGTTCCGCTACAGTCGTATGTTTTAATCTTTCTCTATGACTCCTATGTGTTCTCTCTCGTATTCTCCAGTGAGTTCTCATTTTTTTTTTTTACATTCTAGTGAATATTTTCTGTTAGCGGTCTTTTTAACAGTGAAATTTTTGTATATGCGTCATAAAAGAATATTTCTATTTGATTAATAGCTTGTTAGTGGTCGATGATCTTCACAAAGTGAGCAAATAATAAGTACATTTCTATTTGATCATCTTTTACATGGTTCGATAATAAAAATGAGTAATCCTTACAACATCTTAGCAATATTATTAAACCTGACATCAGATAAATTATCCTGTAAATGAAATAAGATGTCATAGAAGATGTGCAGCTAAAAAAAACTGAGAAGAATATTTATTACTATTTGTGATTGAACATATTGATAAAGGGTCACATATTGCTTAATGAGTGAAAAACAGGAAAGGTAAATAGTTGCACTTTTGTCACTCAAAAACTATCGGTATACATGCATCGTCCTTTTGATGAAACCACTGACACATATACTTACAACTATAGATCGTCATTTTCTGTTCTCACTGTTTTCTTCGTCTTCGCTGATGTATTCCGCTGCTCGTGCATGGTTAGTCTACCAATAGATTCATATCTCCTTCTCTATCGTCAGAGTATTGCCTATTCTTATTCTCAAAGATTCGTAACAGAAATTGGTATATTTCGTTTGTTATTGTAATTACTAGTTCAAAATACTGGCTGAGTCATTGATAACATTACCTAATATTACAGTTTTGATATTCATTTGATTCTGTAACAACGTAAGACTGTAGTCCATGTATTAGGTTTTAAGTAAAGCAAAAGCCAAAAAAGAAATTGTAACGTTCAAAAGGGATTCAATTTAATGTATCGTTATATACCTCACTCACATCATGTTTGTTGACATTCTTCTCTGTTATCAAAGATGACACATTTTTGAACGAATTCTACAGTAGATGAGAGAAAGGACTGGGCAAGTGACGTGACTGATAAACTCCCATAGCTAACTATATCTGAATTCCGAGAAACTAAGCAGGATACTTTTACAAGATGATGGTTGTGAGTTATGTCCAAGTGTACTAATACGAAAGTTTCCGACACCAGATACTATAGGACCTATGAGAATCTGATGAAATCTGCATTATTAAAAAAAACCATCGAATAGAAAACTTTTCTCACCAAGCGGATGAACTTACTCGTGTTTAAGACATCAATAAATATATATATATGATAGAGTAACTCTAGAGTGTTTTTAATGTATATCACAGAGATTGAACGAAATAACATTTTTCTGTGACTGATTACGGTTATTTTGTATTCAATATTCGAAATGAAAGCGAAGTTTTTTTTTCTTGCAGACGGGTGAGAAAATAGAGTGCTTTTACATTATAATATATCGTTAGAAGGAAAGTCTGTTTTTTTTATTTGTTTGGTTTAAAGATACTATTCCTATACTTTTTCTTTATCTTGATTGACTAAAATGTTTTGTTTCGTTCTTACAAGGGAACAAACAAGGATAAGAAGTTGGTTGAGTAATAAGAATAATTATATTTTTTATAATTTTGTTTCTTTAATATTTCGACGGAGGAATATTTGTATAAGGTAAACGTTGTTTTTTTTTGCAAACTTATCTCATATATGATTCCTTGTTAAGGAAATTATGGAAATAACAATTATATATGAGTCAGTGATTGACAGATCCAGATTTTCTTCTCTACTTTGTTTTATGTATAGTTAGAGCGACGGATCCTTGGAAATGGAAATTGTTGATTACTAATTTTTAGTAAACAAGAATATAAAAACTGAACATATGAAGTAAAGAATGAAATGAAATATTGTAGTTATATCCTCTCTTATGTTGTGGTACATTTGATATACCTATAGAATACATAGACGAGCTGAATAGTAATAATGTAAATATGCGATGATCAGCTTATCGAGATGTGCGAACAACATAAATAAGAAGAATGATGAGTCGAATAATGTCTCTTCTCTATTTGTAGAAGATTATCTCAGGCATAATTGATATTTCTACAGCAAAGAATTATTATATGAGATGAGTTTGTAAAAAATTTTCGTCTCATAAAAACATTCCTTCATCGAAATACTAAAAACATAAGATGTATATAAAAAAAAAATATAATGTTACCATTTCCACACAAACCTTCAATCTCTATTTCTCTGATACAAAACGATAATGGTACGAATCCATTTAAAAGTCTTTATATGCTCTATATATCCTACCGATGAGCAAAATATAAGCTTAAACGAAGATTATCAGTTGTCTGTTTAGTTTATATATAAAAATGATTTTATTTCAACTACCACATTCAAGTATCCTTTTTTGTCGATATTAACAAGTTACTGATAGAGACCGTACCTTTCGATTCATTCTGATCAAGTAAACTTTTTTTAAAAAGTAAAGTTAGATGTCACATTTTGCATATAGTTAGAATAGATGTTAACCATCGTTTTCATTCATTTTCGTGGCAAAAATAGTAACTCTGAAATGCACAAATAAATGAAATATTTTTACATTGTTCACCTTTTCCAGAGGACAAAATCGTTAATTTTCATACAACTAAGTTACACATAGTAAAATTTTATTTTAGATCGACTGAATTTAAATTCTTTTATCCCTCAATTGAGTTGAAGTTAGAGTACTTTCCTAGTGGTGACGCAAGAATCAGAGATATTGCTTTACAGAAACTTCTCTGATTTTTTTCGTACATGCAAAAAAGGATATATGAAAGAGTTTATGAGAAGTTCATATATACGAAAAGCCTTGTTGAGTATGTGAGCATCTGATAACTTTACATCATTTTTCATGTGTCGTTTAGTTCAAAAGTGTGGATTAAACTTTAAAAAGACGGAAAAAAATCCAGTTGATTACGGTAAAGGTCGCCTACAATCTGTTGCTGTTGGGGATTTCAACAATGATACATGGCTAGATATTGTCGTCGTAAATTCTGAGGCTAACAACATAGAAATATATTTTGGATATAGTAATGGGAGTTTTGGACATAAAATGACACATTCAACTGGCATTGGTTCACAGCCATATTCGGTCGCAGTTGCTGATATCAACAACGATCATCGACTAGATATCGTCGTGGCAAATTTCGGCACTAACAGTATCGAAATATTTTTTGGTTTGGGCAATGGATCTTTTGTCACTCAAACATCGATTTCCACTGGCTTTTCTCGTCCACGTTGGGTCCACTTAGCTGATTTCAACAACGACAGCATATGTGATATTGTTACTGCCAACTATGGCACTCAGAGTGTCAGTATATTGTATGGATTTGGAAACAGAAGCTTCTCAAAGCCAATCATGTATTCGACAGGCTATGATTCTCTACCGTCTGCAGCCATCGGCGGAGATTTCAACAATGACAATCAAATGGATCTGGTCGTTGCAAATACTGGAACAAACACTATAGGAGTATTTCTTCGCAACAACAAGGGCACTTTTGGTAATCAGACTATATATTCAACAGGCAATGGGTCTCATCCTTATTCGATCGCTGTTGGTGATTTCAACAACGATACTTTCCTAGATATCGCTGTCGCTAATTATGGAACTAAAAACATAGGCATACTTCTTGGCTATGACAACGGAACGTTCACAAAACAAACGACGTATTCGATAAGTCCTGCTTCTCCATATACCATCAGTGTTGCTGACTTCAACAACGATAACCGACTCGACATAGTTGTCAGTAATAGAGGCACTAATAATACAGGTGTACTTCTTGGATATGGGAACGGCACATTTGTAATCTCAACAATGTATTCAAGCGGATCTTCGTCCTCTGTTTCACTTGCTATAGGTGATTTCAACAACGACAATCTACTGGATATTACTGTTGTGAACAACGATACAAACAGCATAGACCTACGTCTTGGTTATTACAAGCGCTTTCAAAACCAAGTAACCTATGCCACTGGTAAAAGCCCACGCTCTGTAGCTGTGGGTGATTTCAACAACGACACTCATATGGATATCGTCGTTGCTAATCGTGACAATAACACTATAGGTATACTTCTTGGTTATGGCAACGGCGGTTTTACAACTCAAACAACTTATGCTACTAACTCTGATCCACTATATGTAGTTGTTATTGACTTTAACAACGACGCTCAGCTAGATATAGCTGTCGCCAATTCAGCAAGCAACAATGTAGGTATATTTCTCGGATATGGTAACGGCAGTGTTACAGATCAAACAACCTATTCTACGGGCCTTTTCCCACGCTCTATAGCTGTGGGTGATTTCAACAACGACACTCAAATGGATGTCGTCATTGCTAATGAAAACAGCAACAGCATAAGTGTACTACTCGGATATGGGGATGGTACCTTTGCAAATCAAACAACTTATGCTACTGGCACTGGTCCAGGATCTATAGCTGTTGGTGACTTCAACAACGACACTCGACTGGATATCGTCACCACTAATTACAAGAGCAACGATGTAAGTATACTTCTCGGATATGGCAATGGTTCCTTTGCAGATCAAACAACTTATTCTACTGGCTCTGAACCACGTTTTGTAGCTGTTGGTGACTTCAACAACGACACTCGACTGGATATTGTGGTTGCTAACCGTGTTAGTAATACTATAAGTGTACTTCTTGGATATAACAATGGCAGTTTTGCAGATCAAACAACCTATTCCACTGACTCTGAACCATGGTCTGTAGCTGTTAGTGACTTCAACAACGATATGCGACTAGATATTGTTGTTGCTAATTCAGGAAGCAACAATGTGGGTGTTTTTCTCGGATATGGGAATGGCAGTTTTTTAGACGTAACGACTTGTTCCACTGGCTCTGGTCCACTGTTTGTAGCTGTTAGTGATTTCAACAACGATACTCGAATGGATATCGTTGTCGCTAATACAGGGGAACAAAATATAGGTGTAATGCTTCAAGAGAATATCGTAGGTCTTGGAAATGCAGAGACGTTTGTATCTGGTGATGGTTCCGACTTGCAGTGTCTTGTTGTTCGTGATATGAATAATGACAATTACTTGGATATGGTGGTTGCTAATTACGGCAGTAAAACAATAGGCGTTCTTATTGGTAATGGGGACGGTACTTTTACAAATCAAGTAACGTATTCAACTGGCTCTCGTCCGAACTCTGTAGCTGTAGATGATTTCAACAATGACACTCATTTGGATATTGCTATAGCCAATTATGATAGTAAAAGTGTAAGTATGCTGCTTGGAAATAGCAAGGGAACATTTACGGTACAAACCAGTATTGGAACTCGTTTTCCTTTTGCTCCCTCTCTTCTTGCAGTTGGTGATTTGAACAATGATGGACGATCAGAAATTATAGTTGCCCATGATAGCAGTGACGTCATCCATATACTTGTTGCATATGACGTCGGATCGTTAACAAATCAAATCACCTTTTCTACTGGTACTTATCCAAGCTCTGTAGCTGTTGGTGATTTCAACAACGACACTCAATTGGATATCGTCGTTGCTGATCACTATACCAATACTGTAAGCATACTTCTTGGATATGGTAACGGTAGCTTTGCAAATCGAATGACTTATTCTACTGGCTCTGGTCCAATATCTATCGCTGTAGCCGATTTCAACAACGACACTCATATGGATATCGTCGTTACTAATTACTACAGCAATACTGTAAGCATACTTCTCGGATATGGCAATAGTACCTTTGCAGATCAAACAACTTATTCTACTGGCTCTCGCCCAGGATCTATAGCTTTTGGTGATTTCAACAATGACTCTCGTATGGATATCGTCGTCACTAATGAAGAGAGCAACACTGTAAGTGTCCTTCTGGGGTATGGAAATGGGAGTTTTAGAGGTCAAATGACCTATTCTACTGACTCTAGCCCAGTATCTGTAGCCGTTGATGATTTCAACAAGGATAGTCGACTGGATATCGTCGTTGCCAATGCAGACAGCAACAATGTAGGTGTACTACTCGGACATGGCGACGGTACCTTTGCAGATCAAACAGCTTATTCTACTGATTCTTACCCAATCTCTGTAGCTGTTGGTGATCTCAACAACGACACTTATATGGATATCGTCGCCGCTAATTACGATAGCAACACTATAAGTGTCCTTCTGGGGTATGGCAATGGGAGTTTTGGAGGTCATATGACGTATTCTACTGGTTCTAGCCCAACATCTGTAGCTATTGCTGATTTCAACAGGGATAGTCGACGGGATATTGTTGTTGCTAATCAGCGAAGCAACAATGTGGGTGTTTTTCTCGGATATGGCAATGGGAGTTTTGCAGATCAAATGACTTTTTCCACTGGTTCTCGACCAATCTTTGTAGTTATTAATGATTTCAACAACGACGCTCGGCTGGATATCGTTGTCGCTAATTACTGGGGCGACAATGTAGGCATACTTCTTGGATACGCAGATACTGCTTTTCTTGAACAACTGACACTGGTCACTGGCAATGATTCTCAACCGCGATCATTTGTTGTTGCCGATTTCAACAATGATGAGCACATGGACATCGCTGTTGCTCTTTCAGGGACTGATATGATCAGTATTTTTCTTGGATATGGCAATATCTCTTTTGCAGATCAAAAGAATTATTCAACTGGCTCTTCGTCGTCTCCGTACTCTATCGCTGTTGGAGATTTTAACAACGACAGTATGGTGGACATTGTCGTTGCTAATTATGGCACAGATAATATGGGAGTATTTTTTGGAAATGGAAATGGATCTTTTATGAATCAATCAGTTCTTTCAACTGGCTACGGTTCTCATCCATACTCTGTGGCTGTTGGTGATTTCAATAATGATAACATACTGGACATTGTGGTCGCTAACCGAGACTTTAACAGCATAGGTCTGCTCCTTGGATACGGTAATGGTCAGTTTACTATTCCAATTGGGATTATGAGCGGGTATGGTTCCTTGCCCTTCTCTGTGATCGCTGGTGATTTTAACAATGACAAGAAGTTAGACTTAGCTGTCGGAAACGATGGAACTGACAGTGTAAACATATTACTGCAGACTTGTTAGATTTCTATTTGTTAAGCTTATTGTTTTGAAATATATTTAAAGAAGAAACTGAATAGTTGTCTTGAAGAAAATTCGAAAACAAAAAGTACTTGAAGCGAGCTGAGGGTGTGGCGTGTGGAAAAAAACGCCAACACCCACACTCACACCTTGAATACTTAATAGTGCGAATGGCAAAATAATGAGATATGCAAATAAAAGTATTGCAACAGAACAAAGTAGAATAATATGTGAATGGTATCGTGACAAATCTATTCTATTGAGTCAAGTAAAAATTTAATTGATTATTATTTTGATAAATAATCAAAAAGTGATAGATTCTAAAAATAAAAATATTGGAAGAGAGAGATGACATCGTATGGAAAAGTCAATAAACATTTGGTTTTTTCTGAGATACGAGTTTTGCATAAAATAATCTCATCACAAAAAAATAATCCTGTATCTATATTGTAATACTACCACTGCTATTTTTAAACACTTACAGAGTTGTGGACTTTGCTTACTCTATCTCAACATCCATTTATCAAATCCGCATCGTGTATCCATAAAGATATACATGACGTTCTTTTTACGGTATGCTTATATCACTTCTAACGGTATATAATGCACGCTCATAGTGAATGATGATCACTGCTCGGTCGTAGAGACATGAACGAGTTGTTTTTGCCATGTTCATGTAGAGTAGATATCTAGATTCATCCAGCTTGGGTGTGGTTGTTGATATAATTCTGTATGTACACCCAGATCCACTGCCATGCCGTACACACGACACTGATACTCACATCCTATTTGGCATGCACTCTTATGCTGTCAATCAAATGAGAATGATCGATGTTATTTTCTTTCTCTTTCACAGTTCTTAAAAGAAATCCGACAAAAATGTGAAAAGCCAGTGCCTTACTCACATAAACAAAAAATAATATTAAACTGTGCAAGTTGCCAACCGAGTACGTCAGCACTATGCTAATGATTGTTAAATCTAAAACCAGTGCAAAAACGTATTGTAGTTATTTTCATGGCGTTGGTTATTGATTCCCTCTCTTTTGTTGCTGTGTGCAATACGGTCGAAACATTCTGTGCGAATGATTGATTTTTATTTTCTTTCATGATTGCTTGCACTCTTTTCACTGCCACATAAGGATGCGTAAATTGATGCAAGAGATTCACGTGGGGTTTGAGCATAGCGTAGGCAACTTCGTTGGATACAGTATAAGCACTGATACCTGTTTAAATGGTCGAAAAACAAGCCAACATTCTATGTACAGACTCATGCTACACGATTAATGACAATCGAATAGTAGAAAAAGATATAAAAAATTGCAAAAAACTAAAGATTATGTAGCATATTTTTGCTTGACAACAGATGTGATGCATACGAAAGAAAACTTCTATATGATTCATTGTGTCCATTATGTTATTCGAATTGAAGAAAAAATATTTTTCAGAAGCTGTTGTGTAATTTTCTGTGCCTTCTACATACATACAGGTAGCAATAATAAACTGTTATTATGCCAATGTTAATTCAATGTCTATACGAGAAAAAAAGGTATTTGAAATGCTTCCGTTGCCATGAATTTATGAAGAGTGACTTCGTCAAGTTACATAGACGATGCTGTCAAAGGTATATGGGTGTAAGTCTTAAATTCATGCATGCAGATCCAGCCACACCCGTAAAAGTATGATGTTACTTTCACTTCTATTTTCAAATAAACGTATGAAAAATTCTTTATGTGAAAATTACAAAAGACTCAGAGATTCTTTTCTTCTACAACTAATTCACTTATTTCTACGCTAAACAGATTTCAAAATAGATTAACAGGAAAATTTCGATCGAATATTCTCAGAAGTCAGATAAAGTGACCATGCAATTGTGTTGAATCTATCAAAGTCTGATCATATTCTACGTCTTGATACTCAATGAACAGCAAGTTTATATAGCACAATTGAATCAAAATAAGTAATTCAACATAATAAACATCTTGATTTATGCCATCAAATACACTTTATTCCATTTTCAAAAAGATACTTTGTCAATTTTTCAGGAACTTTATCGAATATATCCAGGACTAAGTATGATGTTTGATAAATTCGTTGAAAAAAATAATGAACAACAAAAATGGAAATCGCTTTCAAATTGGATAGAACCGCAACTCGCATATAAACCTGTTGAAATTCAACAAATAAAATGATAGCAGTGGTCTTCTGGAAATTGAATTATTCAATTATGAATTACGAGTATTTCGGGTTTTGTCTTCATCTTCAACACCTTCCTCTTATCCCTATCTAAAAGAACACAAAACAGCAATGTAATTCATCGAATAGATTAGTTCTTCACTTTTCAGATGTACCTTCTTTGATATATCTAATTTTGTTTATTCTATATATTTTCTATTGACGAACCACGGTGTGGGTATAAGAAATGCATAGTCTGGATGAATTGTAAAACAACAACCACACTCACATTCATCATTTTTGTGCCTACGTAGGCTTGATGTATGTTGGGCGTAGATCGTTTGTTTACTCACAGCCATACGTTTCCTTTACACTGAATTCAAAGTTTCTCTGATATTGTTTTTTTGCTCAAATAGCGGTCTGATCAAATAAGACTATTTTAATAAATAAAGCAAGAAAAAACTATACGATTCTCAATTTGACTTATAATTCTTTATTATATGATAAAAAAAACAATACGTCGATATACTCTCAATAGATGGCGTATTGATCATCTTTTACTGTGTTTGCCTGTATCATAAACGAATACGCAATAACTACATACTAACTGATAAATAATACAAAAAGCTTAAAAAATAGAGAAAAAGAACATATCGGATCAATGCGTGTAAATCGCTTCTAGAACTGTAGATATAATGCTATCATGTACAATTATTACAGTCACTGTTATACTACTTATTTCATTCAGTATTAAAGATACTGACTCATCAAAAGACAGCACATGTACAAAAGATTCATTTCCTATTCATCGTAAATATTTTTATGTCGGAGGCGAATACGTATTCGATGTATTTTCTAACAGTTCATTCATGACTGGTCAAATGTATGTTGAACATTTAACGTCCCCGTTTGGTATTCAACAACTATATCCTTTAATTTTAATTCATGGAAATGCTATGACTGGTACTAATTGGCTTAATACTCCTGATGGTAGACCAGGTTGGGCTTCCTACTTTTTGGAACAAGGATACGAGGTGTATATTATTGATCAACCAGCACGTGGTCGATCTATAAGGTTGCCAAATAGTGGCATTGCTGTTAAAACTTATTCTGCTGAAATGATGGAGGAACGTTTTACAGCTACTAGTTTCTATCAATTATGGCCTCAAGCAGTTTTACATACACAATGGCCTGGTACTAATAAAACAACCAGAGGTCGTAAAGGTGATCCAATTTTCGATACTTTCTATGCATCAACCGTTCAGTTAGTTGCTAACGACACAATTGCTCAAATAATGATGCAGAAAGCTGGTACAGCATTACTAGATAAAATTGGTGCTGCCATATTATTGACTCATTCACAAAGTGGAAGTTTTGGATGGCTTATAGCTGATGCACGACCAAATCTTGTTAAAGCTATTGTTGCTATCGAACCAAAAGGTCCTCCATTTAGGAAAGCTGTTTTTACAAATATTTCATCTCGTGCTTGGGGACTAACAGACATTCAATTAACATATGATCCTGTTATTAATTCGTCATCTGATTTGTTAACTATTGAAATTGCATCAATACATGAGAATCGTACTTCCTGTATTCTTCAACAAGAACCTGCTCATAAGTTAATTCAACTTGTAAATATTTCTGTTTTAATAGAAACCTCTCAAACATCTTATCATGCTGTTTATGATCATTGTACAGTTGATTTCTTACGGCAAGCAGGAGTTCAAGTAGATTTTATTCGACTTGAAGATTATGGAATTTATGGAAATGGTCACATGCAAATGATGGAAATGAACAATTTACAGATAGCTGAAATTCTTCATAAATGGATAACACAAAATGTACATAAAATAACTTTATGATTTCACGATTTTATGTTACTTTTCATCAAAATTTTACAATCATATTTATCATGACATTCGATATAAAATATTTAAAAATTTTATTTACATTCAAATGTGGTAGCCAAGAAATTTATAGTAATAGGCAAAAGTCTTCAAATAAACACAAAATTAAAAAAAATATATCAGTTTAGAAATTATGAGTAGTTCTTCTAATTTTTTTTTGAATAACAAGATCATGTAAAACAAAGGCGAATGTTTACAAGAAAAAAAATTAATAGACTGTATGCGTATGCGTATACTTGCTCTCTTGTTTCTATTCCCACGATCTACATATAAATTAACTTTTTTTTTTTTTACTTTCACAAAGTTTATTTTTTAGCATAAACAGCAATGTAATTTCTTCCAAAGTTTTCTTTTTTAGTTTCAACCAAATAGATAAAATAAAACAATCTCACTGTGATTAACAATAGCAGCTACATTATTTTTCACATTTTAATCATGTACATAAACAATAACTTTAAAAAGTTCACTGATTACTACTTAATCAACTATTCCAAGTAAATGATACTATCTAACATGTGTCAAATGTTTTTTTTTTCTTGGCTCACGTTTTCCATAAGAATAAATTTTAATATAATTCTGTTGTGCTTCTTTATTGTGATTTTCAGTTTACGAATCATGTCTTGCTTTTTTTGGATGGCTATCAATTAATCGACTAATTTTCATAGATTTCTCAAAAATCCACTAGTTAATCTCTTTTTATATAGACATTTTATTTGAACTACAAAAGAAAAAAAGAAGAAATATTGTAAATAAGACAATTCAACAGAATACATTAATGTTTGCTTCCGGCACTGGTTCTTTTTTAACATCATCATGTCCATGAGTATCAAAAAATACTTGTTTAGGTAGTGGTGGAGCATTAATAGGGTCAAGTGCTTCATCTGGCATAACCCATTCATGTTTATGTGGTAATAATTCACCATCTTGTTCAACCCATCAATGTAATGAATCTCGTTTTTGTATAAGGTAAAAATTGAATGTCTTTCAATTTATCATATTCATTTTTTTCCTAAACACAAGGAAAGACAGCTTCTGGCATATAGAATAAAGCTAAATAATAATAAAAATCAATATCTATTAAAGCTGCATTCTCTTACAAAAACATATCTAACTCATAATTTTACTTCATCAGTTGGAGATACATTGTCTTATCAATCAAATTCTTTTTGTAAATTTTCTACTTCACTTTCAGCTAATTTTATTAATTCTCGAGCACATTGTTCCTAAACATATTACTCTATTAAATAAAATATGTAATAATACCTTTACATTTACTTCAATCTTACCATGTTGTTCAAGTTTTTTAAATCGATTTGCTGTATCATTTGGATAAGAAATTTGAATATTTTCATACTAAATTAATAACGATTTATGATACTGGGTACTTCTTTCGAATAGAATCCCGCAGTCAAAGTTGATCTTGTCTAGTTTTTCTATTTCAAACGAGAGAAGTCTGAAAATTTTATTACCAATACTAGTCGTTGGGACAATTATTTTTCGTAGCGAAAGTTTTTTTTCTCCTGTATTCTGTTTTTTGAACTCAAGTCTCTGTGTGAAATCCAAACAAAATTTCAACTCTGATTAGTGCTTCAAAACTGTCTTACTGTTCTCTATCTTACGTTGAAACTCTCATATCCATAGATTATTTCTGAATTGAATGATACAACCATCTTTGGAGCATACTTTCGAATTTTTCGCAAATGTGCACCATACTAGAAAAAACTCACAAGAATCCCAAAACCTATCACATAGTGGAGCTGCATTAATATATCTAACTCTATCAGTGCTGAAATTTTTGCTTTTGGTTCATGTGATTTAGCTGAGAAATCGATCTGAAAGTTGTTGCATAGTATTTACAACAGATATCACGGGCACATCCTTAAACAGAACAGTCTGTCCTTTGAAATAGAAAAACTAAACATGGTTCATTTTCACTGGATAAGCCAATCTGCCTTCTCTCGCGCAAAATGTTTTGAACCCAAGCCTATGCTTATAGAAAAAATTGATTTGCACTTCTTTTTCAAGCTTATCAACAAATGTTGGATCAGATACCATTCTTCGATAGTAATTAAAATCAATTTTAGGTAATCTATCTGACAATACACTCATTCTAATAATAAGAAAAAAAACCGACATCTAATCATAGGATTAAATTCATAAAACTTTAACTAATTTCATAGCAGCTTGGCTCCATTTAGCTTGAAGATTAGATACTGTTGTTGTATTAGAACTACGTATTTTCAATAGATGACTCCAATCAATTTTACTCGATACATAACGAGAGACTGTTGTTACTGCTGATCGACCTACATTTTGAACCATGAAAATTTCAATCTATAAACAGTATTCAGAAATTTCTCACTGTTCAAATAAATGATTTGATCGATTAAATTATATGCTGTAATATATTCTTTTTGTAAAAGAAAAATACTAAAACTACAAGAAACTGCTTGTGTGAATAGAAAAAAAAATGAACAATAAAATAGCTTGATTAAATAGAATTGCTTGGTTGAAAATAAAGAATAAAAATACAAAATACAAAATCGTCCCATTGGTCATTAAAAGAAAAAGGAAAAAATAAAAAATGATGACGACAATATAGAACCTAGTTGTTCATTCAAAATCATTGCATTTTACACAATAAGATAATAAACATAACCATACAACCAAATTGAATCTTTCGCAAGCATACTTCTTTGTTCATATATTATAACAAAAAGAATGATAATTATTGAAAATATACGATCGTACTAATTGCATTTTTAATTCTATCTTGTTGTTACATTGCATTAAAATTTTTTTAGATCTTTCTGAATAATAAGATCGTATTGAACAAAAAGATTCTATTGCTGTCGTCGTCGTTGTCGTTTAGTACAATAGGAAATAAAAATGATTAAATAGTTGACAATGGTACGATTAAAATTTTGAGCTTTTTATTTACTAAAATAAATTAAAAAGAGATAATATTTGTATTGAATATTTATTTCATTTTTTCTATATATAAATGAATTGCAATTTTTTTAGCATTATTGAAATTTGTACTGTTTTGCCTAATAACTTTTTTTCCTCATTGACCGGTTTGGACTAATATTTTTTATATGTTATTCCTC